TGAAGACAGTTCATGTGGGGGGTGACCCCCAACCCATGGAGTCCACTGAGTTGCCATCGACTTAACAGCTGGACATGCGGGGGTGGGAGAGGAGATAAGGCCCAAAGCCACAGCATCAAAATGCTGGGCTAGTTCTCCCCGCTTCCCCAACCACCACTCCCCAGAGCCCTGGCGCCGTGCTCACCTCCTCCTTTGCAATGGTCATGCCGTCCTGCACGTCTCCAAAGACAGTGGGCTGGATGAAGTAGCCGCGGTCAGCAGCAGCGCCGCCACCACACAGCAGCTTCGCCCCCTCCTGCTTCCCAGATTGGATATAGCCAAGGATCTTCTTAAACTGAGTTTCATCCACCTGCGGCAGAAGGCGCGGAGCAAAGGTAGATGGAGTCACCCCTCTCCCAAACCAGCCGTGAGACCATTGAGAAGTGGGTCAAGGTCATGACTCAGCAAGACCCGGAAAAGGAACCTCAAGTGACCAAAAAACCTAAGGACCACCACTAATCTACTTTCTTCCTTCTGAGTACCTTTCATACCCATGGAATCCTACAACACATGGCCTCGCAGGCCTGCTTTCTGTCACTCAGCATCATGTTTGAGGGTCTCACTACACCAGGACTGCATGTCTCCTTATCCCTCATGTTCAAGTCATCCTCCGTCGTATGGAAATACTACACCGTGTTCCTCCACTTATCCGTGGATAGGCATCTGATCTAGTAACTGGTGCTGCCACGAACATTGGCGGACAAGCGTCTGCTTGAGTCCCTGCTGTCAACGCGGTTGCTTACAGACCTACGAGTGGGATCTCTGGGCCCGGGGCGATTCTTAGTTTAATCCACCGAGGAACTGCCAAACTGTACATTCCATTGTTGGGTTCACGATTATTACTGACTATACTTTTATGGAATTTAAAGGAACAAGATCTCCCTAACCTCACCCACGCCAGGGCCCTTGGCCCTGCTCCCCAGAGATAACCACGGCTAGCTCACCTGTGGCCAACGTCCAAGAAACGCACCTTCATTTTTGCACAGGCTCTCCTACCACTTGCCCTATTTGTACAGCTTAGGACGTGACGTGCCCACAACAAACTTGCTGCCCTCCAGCCCGTTCTGACTCAACAGTGCCCCTACAGGACAGAGGAGAACTGCCCGCAGGGTTGCTGAGACCCAAAACCTTCATGGGAGCAGTCTCATTTTTCACCAGTGCTACAGCTGAACGACTGGTGGGTTTGAATCAATAACCTAGTGGTGGGCAGCCCAATCTCTAACCCGCTGCACCACCAGCTCCTTACATAGTGTTTCATTTCCACAGCCACCTGGGAGTTAAGGAGGGTGGGCTTTGTTTGTTTGTTTGTTGAGGGTGGGCTTTACAGA